ATTTCCATCACAGGGACCAAGCCAGGCAGGAGTTGGTTGCCAGGGCAGTAGTGGATTCTCTGTCATCCTTCCCCTTCTCCCCCCTGCCCCCCCCCAAAAAAAACCCACCAAAAACCCTCTCTGAACTAATGCTCATCAAGCGGGGCTCCCCAGCAGGGTAAACCTTCTTTCCATCTGCAGCACAAGCCCTGTGACAGCTGCCTTCTCCCAACCATGTTGCCTGGAGAAGAAGAAAAGGGAGCCTCTGGGTGTGTAACCTTTTTGTGGTCTCTGAAAAGGCTTCCCCTTTTCCTGGCAGGACCCAGGCAGTAGAAGCAGGACAGTGGACAAAGCACCTTTGGAACACCCTGGACAGCAACAGTGACATCACACTCCACCAATCCTAGTTTTGACATAATATACGTTTTTCTCTCTGTTAATTGTCTGTGCACAAATTTCATTAGCTTTGCAAATATCCACTCTCCTTTGCAAGAACTGGATTTGATTTTGCAAGCAAGCTTTCTCTGATCTAATTTTGTCCCTAATGATTCCTTTTGTTAACTGTTCAGATTCATAGGGTTTGGCTATACAAAGTACGTCAAAACTATAATGGTCAATGGTCTCCCCTAGCAGCTAGTTTATTGTCAAGGAAATGTGTCCTCTCCAAATGACATTTTTGCTGAGTTCACAGTAGTCTTGACACATTTTAATGAGTTTGTCTAGCAGATTGCACTTCGTGTCATGCTTACACTGGAATGTGTGGTCAATTTCCAGCACCTGTAGGCCTGATACCTAATACTGTGGCAAATACGACCCTTGCTATGGCTGAGTGACAATTTTTCAGCAAATAATAAATTCACCAAAAAAAAAAAAATTTGGTTGCTCCAAAATGCATTGGTGAATTTGGGTCACATTTGGCAAACAGTTTCAGCCAAATAAAAAAATGAGGTTTAAAAAAAAAATCAAAACTGTTCATTCTGACATTTTCAAGACAGCCCTTTTTGACATTTTTGTCTGGAAATAAATGGTTCTGTTCCCTAAATGTCAGTTCTAATCAAATTTCACTTGGAAAATGTCATTTTGCTTAACTCGAATGAAATCTTTTTTGTTTTTATTTCAGCGGGGGAGGGGGGGAATTTAAGCTGCAGTTGATTCAAAACCAACCTTTTTTATTTCTGTCTTTTGGCTTTGTATTTACTCAGCTCTAGCAACTTGCCTATGTCTCAACAATATCAAATGCTTCTGGGAAAAATGGGGAAACACTAATTGTCCAGTTCTGATTGGTTCCTTTCCAGACTGAAGAATTTGGGTGACTCAATTTTGCTCCATTTCTGCCATGGTTCACTCATTTCACCTTATAATACGGATAGGAGCACAGGATCTCTGAGAGCTGTCTTAATCAGCAGCCTATAACATCACTCTCTCTTTCTGGCCCAGTGGATATTTAATTATTTGTACAAAGTGGAATAGATCCAACAGGAGAAACTGAAAAAGACTCCCTCTATAGCAGGGGTGGGCAAACTTTTTGGGCCGAGGGCCACATCTGGGTGTGAAAATTTTATGCATTTCCCCGGGGGAGGGGGTTGGGGTGTTGGGGGGGGTTCAGTGTGCAGGAACGAGCTCAGGGCAAGGGATTGGGGCAGAGGAGGGGTGCGGGATGTATGAGGGGGCTCAGGGAAGGGGGTTGGGGCGCAGGAGGGGGCTCAGGGCAGGGATGCAGGAGGGGTGCGGACTGCGGGAGGCAGCTCAGGGCAGGGAGTTGGGATGCAGGGTGCAGCAGGGGGCTGAGGGCAGGGAGTTGGGGGTGCAGGAAGGGTGAGGGATGCAGGCAGGGAGTTGGGAGGGTGGGGTGCAGGAGGGGTTCAGGGTGCAGGCTCCTGCCCGGCGCCACTTACCTAAAGTGGCTCTGGAGTGGCAGCGGCGTGCGCCAGGGCAGGCTCCCTGCCTCCCTGCCCTGGCCCCACTCTGCGCCGCTCCAGGAAGCAGCTGGAACCACGTACCTGCATGGCTCCTGGGGGAGGGGAAGGCACAGGGCTCCGTGCACTGCCCTTGCCATGCCTCCATGTACCTCCGCGAAGCGCCGATTGGCCACGGTTCCTCGTTCCCGGCCAATGGGAGCTGCGGGGGGGTGGTGCCTGGAGGCAAGGGCAATGCACGGAGCCCTCTGCCTGCCCCCGGGGCCCCAGGGACGTGGTGCCAGCCACTTCTGAGAAAGGCACGGGGCCTGTGGTACCATGGGGGGCAATCTCACGGGCCAGATCCAAAGCCCTGAGGGGCCGGATCCAGCCCGTGTGCTATAGTTTGCCCACCCCTCCTCTATAGCCTGCTGATTAGAGCAGGTCCCTGCTCCAAATCAGGCTGAGGTGGAAGCTGAATGTGGGTCTTCTCCATCCCTAACCACTGGGCTATTGGCCACTTTGGGGCCTGGGTGGTGTCTTTCGCTCTCTTTAAAGATTTCAAAAATTTCTGCAAAACAAAATTGTTTTCTAGCCAGCCCTAGCAATGAGGAGTCCCATCGAGGTGTTACTGACTAAAATGATTTCTTCAAAATGGAAAGTTTTTAATAGAACTAAAACCAACTGTTACCAATGATACATTTTAATTTTTTTTTTTTTGAAAGAAGGAATTGCTGAATACAACATGTTGCTTCTCGCAGCACTGCCAGTTGCTGTTAGCTGTGGTCTCTTAGCAAAGAGAACAATAGCTTTCTGTCCCAACCACTCTGTCCCCCAAATTTGGCTTCTTCAGCAACACTTCACCACTCCCCTGGTTGGTGAGCTGCCACAAAGAATGTGTTTCTGCTACTTAGCGGTTTCAATTACCATTAATGTATCAGGAAGATGACGTGTTTGAGATAAGTGTGTTTAATTCTGAGGCAAAGGTGTGCTGCTTCGTTGAGATTTATTAGATGCCACTACATGCAGTAGGTAGAGTTGGGTGCTTTGAATTCCTGAAGAGTTTTCATCTGCCTATTGTGACAGACCCAGACCGGTTGGGTGCAGGAGTCTGGTAGAAGGAAAACTTACTGGACACTGGAATAGTTTTCTGTTCCCAGAGTGACCAGGGCAGGGGCTGCCCCTGAGCAGTCAGGAAGGTGCTAGAAGCAATTAAGTCAGGCAGACTCCATAAGACACCTGGAACCAATTAAGAACTGATTAGAAGCAATCAAGGGAAACAGGCTAATCAGATGCCCTGAAGGCCATTTAGAACCAGCTGGGACTAGTTTAGAAAGGAAGCTCCTTCAGAGAGGCCAGCTGGTAGGAGCTGGGAGTAAGAAGGTGTGTTGTGGGAAGACTGGGAGAAAGAAGATGTACAGTGAAAGACCCGGGAGGACAAGCATGGTCAGGCACCAAGGAGGGTGCTAGGAGGGGCCGTTTGGGGAAGTAGCCCAGGGAAGGGCTATAGCTCCGGTAGTATAGGATTGCCTGTTGCCGGTGTGATTAAGATCCCTAGGCTGGAACCTGGAGAAGAGGGTGGGCCTGGGTTTCCCCCAACCCTCCTCACACTGCTACAAAAACACTCCCTGAGAAGGAAGACTGGGGCTAAAGAGGGCTCTTACACCAAACCCATTGACTGGCCAGTGATGAAGGTGAATCAGTAAGCTGTAACCCTTGCCTCTAGGCGTGGAGAGAGGCTACACTGAGGGGCAGAGCAAACCTCTGAGGCAAGCCCTAACTGCTCAGAAGCACAGGACTCCCTGAGGCAACAGCTGGAGCTCTGCTACACTATGTAAATCAGAAGAGGGTAAAATAAACTGCCTAGTAGAATGGCCTGGGCAGATCAAATAACTTCTCTTGTTGAATGGCAGGAAATCCTGTCCAGTGAACTCTGAGGAATGACTTGGCCCCAGGCCAGAACATTACGGGGCTAGTAACAGCGGGACAGCAGTAATGTACCCTGGTCCAACTGCAGACTGTGAGGGTAGACAGGCTTCCCCCAACTTGTGGAGATATTCTGCGGGGAGGGGAGAGGTATAGACCATGATAGGGTGCAGGGAAAGGGAAAAGGGCACTGGCTGTTTCCCCATCCATCCGGGAAGATGGTTTTGGTAAAGTGAGGGTACGGGAGCATAGGCCTGTGTTGAGAAGGGGGAGGTGAAATTCTGAGTTCGATATTTGCATTGGCAGTGCCTAAATATTAAATCAGGGAGCAGAGCACCAGTCAGAGGAGAGTGGAGCAGAGCCAGAAGTGCGAGGGCAATCTGGATAATGCGCGCTTATTGTGTGCTGGAACAATTTTTGTATAGTGGAGGTTATTGAGAGCCATTGAACCAACCTGTAAGCCCTGCAACAGCATCCCTAGTTCCAGCACCTATGCTTGTGGGACTTTGTAGCAACAAAGCAGCACAGTGGGGTGTCTCAAGGGAGTGAGAGAACAGAACAAGGTCAGCAAAGATCATTGCATGTTTTTCCCGCCTAGTAGTTGGGATCTCTTGAGAGGAACATGTGACCTCCCTGGCTGGTTTCACTTCAGCAATCAGTGTCAGGAAATGACTGTCCTTGTTCTTATTAAGTAATGAACATCTTGTCCTAACAATTGCAGCTGCTCCACACAAGACTTTTTCCCAGGGTTCTAGGATTGTTTGGATGGCAGCCCTACAGAGACAGTAGCTGCCAATTCCCAGCTCTCTAGAATCGTTACTACGTTAGTCTGGTGAAAAATGTGGTCTGAAGTGAAAGAAAAAGCTAATTATGGGCCAACTTCTGCTCCACGCAACCCCACTGAAATCCATACAGTTGCATGGGTGTAAACAGACAGGAGAATTTGGCGGCATGGTGTTAAAGGAAGCATGGAATGTCCTCTAGTTACATGTTTTGTAAAGCGCCTAGTACAATAGGGCTGCAGTTTCTGATTGGGGCCCCTGGATGCTGCCACAATACAAATAAATAATAATGGTGATTGATAAAATAAGCCGGTGTATTGTGAAAGTTAAAAATATATAATTGCATAAGGTTACAAAATATGGATTAGTGTTAACAGTTTGTATTTTGTGTTTAATAATTTCCTTTATTTTTTTCCAGATCACCCTATTTTTTATTGGAAGAACAAGGCCCCGGGGTAGAGGCAAAAATGTACAAAATGCCCATCTGCGTGCTACAGCTAAGCAGGGTGGTGATGAACCACAAGCTCTGGGCTGTGTTTATCATCACCTTTAAGTTCATGTCCTTTGTCTCCATAATGTTCTACTGGAGAATCACTGAGGATACCAAAAGCAAGAGTCTGCTGTATGGCTTGCCTCTGGAAGTCAAATGTCCTCGATCTGTGCCTTCTCCTCCCCCAGCTGTATCTGGCAGGCCACCTCCACCGCCTGGGGATATATTTTTTGTGGAAACCTCAGATAGAACCAACCCAAGTTTTCTCTTTATGTGCTCTGTTGAATCAGCAGCCAGGGCTCACCCTGAGACCAAAATAGTCATCCTTATGAAGGGGTTGGCAAACAGAAATTTCACTCTGCCAAAACACTGGGGCTTCTCTCTGCTGAGCTGCTTCCCCAATGTGGAAATCCGCCCACTGGACTTGAATGACCTTTTCTCTGGTACCCCTCTAGCTGACTGGTATTCGGTGGCCCAGCACAGATGGGAGCCTTATTTCTTACCCATACTTTCTGATGCCTGTAGAATTGCTATCATGTGGAAATTTGGGGGTATCTACTTAGACACAGACTTCATAGTCCTTAAGAACTTAAAGAACCTCACCAATGTGCTTGGAACCCAGTCCAAATATGTATTGAATGGGGCTTTTCTCTCCTTTGAAGCCAAACACAAGTTCATAGAGCTTTGCATGCAGGACTATGTGGATAATTACAACGGCTGGATCTGGGGGCACCAGGGCCCACAGCTTTTAACCCGTGTTTTCAAAAAATGGTGCTCCATCAGGAGTCTCCGGAGCAGTAAAAGCTGTAAAGGAGTCAGTACTCTTCCCAGAGAAGCCTTTTATCCCATCCGCTGGCAGGACTGGAAGAAGTACTTTGAAGTGGTCAGCTCTTCAGAGCTTCACAGACTCTTCAAGAACACCTATGCGGTGCATATTTGGAATAAAAAGAGTCAAGGAACAAGATTTGAGATCACCTCAAAAGCTTTGCTGGCTCAGCTGCATTCCCACTACTGCCCTTCAACATACGGGATAATGAAGAAGTATTTTTGAAAGGAATTGATTGACTCACCTGTCACCTAACTGAACAAAGGAAGTAGCCAAAACTGTTCAGCCTTCTGAGCAAAAATATACATTTGAAAGTACTTATATCTCTGTGAACCATCAAGCACCAGGCAGTGTGATGTAGTGAAATTCAAAGATAAATGTAGGGCAGGGTGAATGTAGGTTGAACACAGGAGTTAACTAAAGACTGAGCAGTGCTTACCTTGTTTTCCTTCCTTTCCTTACGGTTGGGTCCCTTTACACTACTCTGGCTGTGTAAAGCGACCTTAAGACGGGAGTAAATGTTACAACACTCTGTCATCATAAAGAGGTCTTAAAGTGAGAGTAAACGGTCTTTATTCTGCCAACAGGGCATAAAGAGGCCTTAGTATAAATGAAAAGCAGGACCCAGTTCACAAGAATCAGCCAGTGAACTCCCAAATATCTCCAAAGAAATAAAGTGAGGGAAGTAGAGGGAAGATGAATTGAGGAAGGAGTTAAAGGGAGGATCAGAAAAGGCAGCAAGGGAAGAGAATAAGGAAGATGAGAGAAGAAGGAAAGGGCAGATTTTTTTTTAAAAAAACCTTCTTTTTTTTTTCCTTACTGCAGAAACCAGTGGCCGAAAGGAACTTCCACATGTTCCAGCTTTTATTTTACAAAGCTTTAATTGGACACTTCTGTGTTTACAAGGAGCCATGTGCTGTATAGTCCTTGCTCAGTTCTTAATGGGGCAAATTCCCATTGTCTCCAACGTGAGGTTTGACTGGGTAAGGAATTCAGGGTTTGTCCGAAGGTTTTTGTTTTTTTGTTTTTTTTTTTAAATTAAAACTTCTAAGCAGCCATGGGACAAACTTTATTTTAGACTATGGTCAGAATTATGCTATGAAGAGGCAAGTGATGTGTCCAAATCATGTCCTTACTTTCTTCTGATTGGAGAGCTATAAAATGTCTCTTCCTTTTATTGGAATGATCTGGGTTTATGTGTGTACACCCACTGCAGTATCTGAGCAACTATTAATCATTTTATTCTCACAACACCACAGGAAGGCAGGGAAGTACCACTCTCTTATTTTACAGATGGAGAACTGAGACAGAGAGATTAAGGATGGGAGTTAGTTGCCTAAATATCTCTGAGGATCTGGGCCTAAGCTCCTTGCCCAAGATCACATAGGAAATACATGGTAGAACTGGGAGTTGAACCTAGATTTTTCTGAACCTCACTTTAGCACCAGAACTGAAAGGCCATGCTTCTTACGCTTTCAAATCTTCTGTGGCATTCTGCTGCTATTTCTGGCACAGAAAGTAGCCTGGAAGTGCAGGGGTCTTCTTTGATTCCCTGAATAAATGCTACTGAAAGCATGAGTGGCGCTCAGACTCTTCCTAACTGATGCGTGGGGCGGGGAAAGACAGTTTATGTTGTGGAAAAAGTTGTCTTTGCAGACTCCCAGCACTGGGATGAGCCCAAGGAGAGACCATGAAAGTTTTGGGACTTTTTATCTTGACAGGAAATTCCAGTTTTCATAAACTCAGTGTAAAATAAATGATGAATTCTGAATTTCCTTTCTTACACAACAGATTGTAGCTGTGTGCTGTTACTAATGGGGTCGTGTAAGCATTACAACATCAGTGAACTATCTGCTCTGTGTGAAGGCAGAGATGAGCTGCCAACAGACCTGTCAGGGGAAGCATAGCAGTGGTGGAGGGCAATCAATGGGATGGCTTTTGCAACATTGGAGGTACTTGTCACTGAAAGGGTCAGGTAGAATAAAGTGGTGATATACTTTGGTGGAAAGGAGGGGGAAGCACTGGGTGGAAGAGAAATTTTACTGCTCCATCTCCCAGCTTTCAAGCCTTCATCTGAAGCTTCTGCTGCTGCCACCACAGGGCACCTCTCCTGTCCTTGATTCACCACCTTCCCACCTGGCTGTCTCCGATCTTGAGACTGACTTTGCAAGAGACTGAACATCTCCTGTGAAGTGAATGGGAGCTGAAAAACTTAGAGTCTCAGAGGAGGCATTCAGCACCTTGCAGGAATGGGCTCTTACTGGTTAAGTTAGATTCAACTGTAGCTTCCACAGTGGGGGGAAAACGTGCTGCCTGCCTCTGTCTTGACCACCACGTCTTCCTGCTCTTTGATTCAGCTGTGAGTCTATAGCATGATTTGGAGCACAGCTGAACTGACAAAGAAGCATCAGTAGCTATAAGGGAGGCAGGTTGCCAGCTAACACATCAGTCTCCGTGCACACGCATTCTAAAACAAGATGTATAGTAAGAGGGGTCACCCAGGGACACAGACATGTGGTGAGATGGGTTGTTATGGGCGAGTGGAGCATCATCCATTTCCTACCCTGTACTCCGTAAAGGAAACCATAGCACTATAAAATATTTTAAACGCCTTGTTTGAGCCTTAAACAGTTGGTTTTCTTATGAATAAAGATGGGCTCAAGCTATTAACTTCAGAGCTAAAAATAAGCTTGTCTGATGTTCAGGGACAGTGGCTGATTCAGTGCTCCATTTCATGAACATGACTAATGCTGAATCCTAATGGGATGGCATCATCTGGCACTTCTGGAAAACTGCTCTAAGTCATGATCCCACCAACACCGCTGACTGCTCTGGCTCTATCTGACCTTCAAGTCTGCAGCTGCTTCAGGGCTTTTTCTGTTTCTCAGCTCAAACACAAGCAAGCACGGATTTGCTCAGCTAAGCGAAGGAAATGTGTAAAACAAAAGACAGCCTGAAGCATAGTAGGACAAAATCTCTTTATTTCTTTCTCTCGGTTTACTTGTAACCACGCAAATAACAGAAACAGCAGAGCAAAAGAACCCTAACCTACTATGGAACTCATCCCCCTCCCTTCACAAGGCTATGAGTAATCAGGTGTGGTTTATTTTCCCTCCAAACCTTAGGTCACATTCTTCATTTTACTCTCCTTCTGCTATATGTCCTACAGTCATTTTGGATCTTGTTGGTTTCCCCACAGTCCCCACCTGAGCACATCAAAATACAGAATAGACACTTTTCAAAACAAGTGTACTTACCAAAAACCAAAAATGTCGAAGAGCATAGGAACTGTGTTCCTACACAGACCATGGGTATCCTGTCTCCATCCACTGGAGCCAGTGTTGGCTATTTCAGAGGAAGGCAAACTGTGTACCCATTGTAACTTTGCAACACTATAGGCTGGGGATCTTCCTGAATATCTGAGACATTAGCATTGGTAGCCCTTGAATTTTTTTTTCAGCTTATGTCAGTGCAGCTGCTATTCCTGTCTATATAAATTGATAGAAATACAAGAAATTGCCAGGCTGGAAAAGATCCCTGGTCTGGGTAGTATGGTATCCTATTTCTGGTATTTCTCTTTTACTTGGCCTCAGTCCAGCTGAGCAATGAAATGTTAGCTGAGCCAGGGACAGCCTAATGGTAAAGGCATAACTTAATTTGGTCAGGCTGCATCACAAAGAGTGCACTTCATTTAGTCACACTCTTTGCCTCTGAATTTCATGTAAAATATAGCACTGCTTATGTGAAAAAAGTGCCTTTTCATATAATGGCCGATTTCTCTGCAACTCATGACCTGTGTAAAGAGCTTTGCACTAATCCCATGTTCTCTCCACTACTGTAAATAGAATAGAGGTCAGTTGTTAAATTGGGAGGAAGTCCCTCTGTTCTAGTAGAACATGGGAAGTTGGGTCAGTTGTGTCCTGCCAGAGTAGCTTGCAGTATATTAGGAAAATTCTAAATTTAGGATTTGGGTGGAACATTGTTGATTTATGGCAGCTTAATATCAGGCTAAAGGAAGAGGCCGATCTAGTCTGCAGTGAAATGCTTAATAAAGGCCTTTGCAAATTAAGGCTCACGTGCCTTGAATATCTCCCTTCTGACTGCTGCCTTATTGGTCCTATTCATACATATAAAAGGGGTGCCCACTGGAATTAGATGTTTCATTTGCCTGGTGTTTCCTTCTCCATTTTGAGAAAAATCAATACAGCATCTCTCTCTCATCCATGCACAAGGAAACAGACTTGAGCGTGTACTGGTTGTATTTGAGTCACTTGCCCCGATGGTCCCACCTCAAGGGTTAAATAGTAGATCTGGTTTAAAAAAAAAATGGATAGAACACTTTTCTGTCACAATGCAGTTTTGACTAAATCAAAACTTTTTGCAGGAACAGAGAGATTTTTTTTTTTGACTAAATTTTGCAATGGGTAAAAGTCAAAACATTTTGTGTTCAGAGTAATTTTGATTTTTGTTTGGCTTTTGGTATTCTATTAAAATACATGTATGTAATGATTTAATATGGTATAAAAGTCACAACAAAATTAATTGAAATGACACTTTTTGAAATGAAATGTTTTTACATTGATGAAATATTTCAAAACTATTGAAATTAAATGTTTAGATGGTTCCATCTTGATTTTTTTTTTCCTCTTAATTTTTGGTTGACAGGAAATTACAAAATTTTGGCTTTTTGTTCTGGTTTGGAACAAATTTTTTTTTATTTTATTTATTTTATTTTTTTTTGGTCAAACTCTCCTGCAGAATGGAAATTGTGGCTCCCAACGGGCTGTAATAAGCTGTAATGTTATCTGAAGCACCAGCCAAATGCAGTTCAACACGGAAGAATCATTATCGAGAAGGGACAGGGGAAATTTGGTTGTGGTTTAAAAAATAAAAATTAAAAAAAAATTCAAAATAATCTGGAAGAGGTCCACTGTGACCTTTTGTTAATCAGATGAGCAAGCATCTATGTCTTTCCCTGAAAACTGTCAAAATGTAACTGGTGCTCCTTGTTACTTAGCTTGCACTGAGATATGGAAACTGGTGGGGACTTTCTATAAGCTGTAGCCAGGACTTACACTGATGATCAAAGGTAAAGAGATGAACAGTTAACTGTGATCTTTTCTCACCTTTTTCACGGTGCTGTCTTTACGAGGCAACCTGGGTAAGGATTTTACCTTCTAGGCAAAGGAAACTCCTGCAATATTGCAGCACCCCTTCGGTGAAAAAGAGCTTTAAAATTGTTTTTGTTTTGTATTTTGGCATGGATAGAGACCACAGGCATCATTTTTATTGCCAGAGGTGTCTTAAGTAGAAATCCTGGCATATTTTAAAATCAAGAATTAGTGCTGCTGCTGTCTGGATTTATGCCATTTGATGCCTTTTCAGAGATGATCTCTTTTACGAAGAGGATGAAACCAAAGCAGCCTTTGGCCTTTTCCTACTGTTCAATGGTTATGGGGGAGGGAAATAAATGTAATTTTTACCTTTTTATTTCATGTTTCTTCAAAAAAAATTCATTTTGTTTTTCAAGTGATTGTTGGAAACTTTATGTAATCTGCATTAGTTATTGTCAAGACAAGAAATTTTCATCTTATCACTAGAAACAACTTTGATTAAATTTAGCAGTGTTGAAATAGCATTAGGCTAGCTGAGTTTAAGCAATTTTTAAAATATAAATTACGGCCTGAAGGCTGGATGTGTAGACAGTTGGTAATGTCAGTGCAAAATATTCAGCTCCTGCTCTCTATCCAGGGTTATGGTGACCATACAAAATGACTATTTGGTAACCTATGTAAAATAAGCTTGGTGATCTTGGTCCAGAAAATGGACAGATGTCCACACGATAAAAATTGTGTTGCAATTTACACTACTCTTATCAGTGAGGTCAATAATCAAGGCCCTAAATTAGCATTGATATTTTACCACTGACCACCCTCTTAGTCTTAATAGTGGAAAGTTTGCTCTTCCATTGCCCTACCTATATTTGTGGACCTGATCCAAAGCCCGTTGAAGTCAAGGGGAGTCTTTCCAGTGATTTCAATGTTTTTTGAGTAAGGCAATGGATGAATAAAGGACCTTGTGCACCAGTACTGTCATTTTGATCATCAAACTGACTTATTTGCAAAATGAATAGCTCCCAGGTTTGTCCTGTATCTTGTTAAGGTTCAGATAGGCAATGAAATTGGCAGGTTTATAAACACCCAACCTTGCACCAATATACAAATACCTGATAACAATTTTTCAATTATTAAATACTAGCTCAGCTTTATTTCTGTAGCTTTGCAATGGCAGATTGTGTGATCTATTGTTCCCAAAAGTGTATCTGATGATAAAATCATTTCCAGTATGTTCAGATCATGTTAATAATGGCAAAGTGACTGTGACCGAATCATGAATGAAGGGAACAGATTTCACTTTTAATGTGCAAATATTAAACATGTTTAAATATTAAATTGTAATCTTCTTTTAATTGTATGCAGCGGTGTTGTAGCTGTGTGAGTCCCAGGATATTAGAGAGACAAGATGAGTGACGGAATTTCTTTTATTGGACCAACTTCTGTAGGGGAGAGAATGACAAGCTTTCAGGTGACACAGAGCTCTTCCTAGACCTGAGGACGAGCTCTGTGTAGCTTGAAAGCTTGCCTCTCTTACCAACAGAAGTTGGTCTAGTAAAAGATATTACCTCATCTCTTTTTCTCTTTTAATTGTTAACCCAATTTCAAGGAAGGGTGGGAAGCAGTGGATCATTTCTGACTGCTGCTTGATTGAGGTCTTGTGGTTCTGACATTTTAGACAGTGACCTTTTTAACAAGGTGAAACTGCTGCTCACGGAGAACTGAGAAAATCCAGGTGAGAAAATATAATGGGAAACTATCCATATCACAAATTATGTTTAGTTTTATGATAGAGCTGTATCCCTTGTCAAATTAACCCCATGTAAGCTTTAAAGGAAGACAAGATCATTGGGGAGAAGCTAAATGAACTCTTCACATCTTCTCCTCACTGCAGAAGATACAGGGGAGATACACACAGCAGAGCTATTCTTTTGGGATGACAGATAGTGTTGCCAACTTTCTAATGGCATAAAACCATACACCCCTGTCCAGCCCCCTTCCCTGCTCCTTCCCTGAGGCCCTGCCTCTGTTTACTCCATCCCCCCTCCCTCCATCACTTGCTCTCCCCTACCCTCACTCACTTTCACCAGGCTGGGGCAGGGGGTTGGGGTGAAGGAGGGTGAGGGCTCCAGCTGGGGGTGTGAGCTCTGAGGTTGGGCCAAGAATGAGAGGTTTGGGGTGCAGGAGGGGGCTCAGGGCTGGGGCAGGGGGTTGGGGATGTGTGTGTGTGTGGGGGGGATGGGGTCCCAATGGCACTTTCTGTGGCTCCCAGGAAGCGGCCACCAGGCCCCCTAAGCACATGCACGGCCAGGGAAGTGCCGCGTGCTGTCCTCGTACCCATGGGCGCCACCCCCGCAGCTCCCATTGGTCGCAGTTCCCAGCCAATGGGAGCTGTGAAGCCAGCACTGGGGCAGGGACAGTGCACATAACCTCCCTGGCCACCCATGCAGCCGCTTCTGAGAGCCATGCAGAGCTAGAGAAGGCAAGGAGCCTGTCTTAGCCCTGGGCCCCCACTGCGCTGCTGACCGCACTTTTGATGGTCCGGTCGGCGGTGCCAACTGGAGCTGCCAGGGTCCCTTTTCGACTGGCCATTCCGGTCAAAAACCAGACGACTGGCAACCCTAGTGACAAATCTGAAGTATTGTGCCACATTGATGTGTCAGTAGTAGAGGTTTTAGAACAAATTGATAAATTCAACAGTAGTAAATCACCAGGACCAGATGGTATTCACCCAAGAGTTCTGAAGGACCTCAAATATGAAATTGCAGAGCTAATAATAGGAGTATATAACTTATTGCTGAAACGAACCTCTGTGGCAGATGACTGGAAGGTAGCTAATGCAACACCAATTTTTTAAAAATGGGCTCTAGAGGCAAACCTGGCATTTATAGGACAGTGAGCCTAACTTTAATACTGGACAAATTGGTAGAAAGTATCATGGAAGTGTAGGACTGGAAGGGACCTCAATAGGTCATCTAGTCAAGTTCCCTGCACTCAAGGCAGGACTACATAATAACTAGACTGTTTGCGACAGGTGTTTGTCTAGCATGTTCCTAAAACCTCCAATGATGGAGATTCCACAGCCTCCCCGGGCAATTTGTTCCAGTGCTTAACTACCCTGATGGGAAGATTTTCCTAATGTCCAGTCTAAACCTCCCTCAACTGAACGGCACTCACTAGGCAGGGGACATGGGTTCCAAAGCCCAATGAGTTGAGAGAGGGTGGGGATAGGCACATGTACTTGGTGGTGTGGTATGGGTTCTAGACACCATTTGACCCTTCCTCTCTCCACAGTATAAAAAAAAAAGAGTTAATTTAGACTCAATTGAGAGTCTTGTTACACACTGAAGAGTTGAAATCACTGATGTGAACCTCTGGACTCTGGGGCTGCACTGGCCAAGGACAGCAACTGTGAGTGGGATGCAAAGAAGGGATGGGCACGTTAAAGGGACTTTTGGGTTGCTGGACTTAAGACCCTGAGGGGAAAAGAACGCTGCCCAGTTTACTTGGGGGTGGGTCTTTTGCTCATGGTTTGTGTTTATGAGCCCTAGTTGTTGTCTTCCCAAATTAATGCTGAGTCACTCCCCTCCTTTTTTATTAAAAGTTTTTGCTACACTCAGACCCTGTGCTTGCGAGACGGGAAGTATTGTGTCTTTAGCTATTAGCACCAGAACCTCATGTAGAAAATTAGCAACTGCAGCTCCAAAATGAACGCACTAGTCTTACTATTATTGCTTCTTGATCTATAATTTCTAGAACTAGTGCTGCCCCTACTTAAGGTCCGTTATCCCCATTATGGCTACTGGCACTGATAATGTTACCTAGGCATGGTCTAGTGAGGGTTAGAAGACCTGAGCCCTATTCCCAACTCTGGCTTTATTTGGCTGAATAACCTTGGATAACAAAACTGGTTTTATGCCTGAGCTTTCCCCATTTGTATAGTGATACTTGCCCACCTTTATAATCCTTAGAAGAAAGTAGCTATATAAATTCAAATTATTACTGTTACTCATGGAGGGAATGGCAATATCATGTTCTTCGGCCCTTTCTTGATGGAGATCACAGATTCTCACTCTAAGGAGGAGACCCTACCTATGTGAATGGAGATCCACAGGTTTGAGTTGTTTCAGTACAAACTGCTCTATAACATCAAGATAAGCCTGCGAGGGATAAAAATACGGGGGATGATAAAAATTCAGTGTGTTCATTTGTTCAGCAAAGAGTGAAAGAAATGAGATGTAGCAGCTTTCTGCTGAACAGTTATCACAGACACACTTTGCTAATCTCATTCAGCTTTAGGCAGAAGTTACTCTCCACCCATAAATTACATTCCTGTCCTGTATTAGCCTCACCTGGCAATGCTTCTCTTGGCTCAGTCTCCATACAGTTCCACGGAAGTTATTAACATTTCAAAAGAGGCCTGGTTTGATTTTCAGAGGTGCTGGACATCCACAGCCTCCACTGACATCGCCTCTGAAAATCAATCTAGCAGGCTTGTCTCATATTTCCATTTAGGACTCTGAACCTGGGCATTAGCTGATGTTTCTAGAAGTTCATCTTCTTGAAGGTAATCCTCATTGCCTTTTAAGGTGAGATGGGTTCCAATCGTAAAATTCTGATCAGGGCTCAGAACTGGATTTTAACAACTCCAATTTCAGGGGTGTATGGATTTCGGGTTTGTCCCATTGTAAAATCATGGACCATTTACAAAATTAATGTTTTCTAAGCCTTTAATCATTTTTGTTGCACTCCTCTGGACTTTCTCCAATTTGTCCACATCTTTCCTGAAATGTGGTGCCCAGAACTGGACACAATACTGCAGTTGAGGCTTTTTGTGTGGAGTAGAGCGGAAGAATTACTTCTCGTGTCTTGCTTAGTATGCTGCTACTGATACATCCCAGAATGATATTCACATTTTTTTGCAACAGTTTTACATTGTTGATTCATATTTAGTTTCTGATAAATTCTAAGCCCCAGATCCTTTTTTTCAGTCTTCCTTCCTAAGCAGTCATTTCCCATTTTGTATTGATTGTATAATTGTATTGATTGTACAGTTGATTATTTCTTCCCAGGTGTAGTATTTTGCATTTATCCTTACTGAATTTTATTCTATTTATTTCAAACCATTTCTCCAGTTTGTCAAGATTATTTTGAATTCTAATCTTGTCCTCCAAAATGACCCCTCTCAACTTGGTATCATCTGCAAACTTTATTCGTGTACTCTCTGTGCCATTATCCAAATCATTTAAGAAGCTATTGAGCAGAACTGGCCCAAGGACAGGTCCCTGTGGGACCCCACTCGATATGCCCTTCTGGTTTGACTGTGAAATATTGACAACTAGTCTCTGAGTACAGTTTTCCAACCTGTTGTGCAGTCACCTTATAGTAAGTCCTTCTAAGCTATGTTTATCTAGTTTACTTATGAGAAGGTCACGTGAGTTAGTATCAAAAGCCTTACTAGAGTCAAGATATACGACATCTACTGCTTCCCTGCCCCTCCCCCAGAGCCACAATACTTAATACCCTGTCAAAGAAGGATATTAGGTTGGCTTGATACAATTTGTTCTTGACAAATCCATGTTGACTGTTACTTATCACATTATCATTGTTTAGGTGCTTACAAATTGTTTGTTTGTTTGTTTGTTTGCTCCATTATCTTTTTGGGTACCGGACTTAAGCTGACTGATCTATAATTCCCTGGGTTGACCTTACACCCCCTTTTATAAATAGGTGTTATATTTGTCTTTTCCAATCCTCTGGAAGCTCTCCCGTCCTCCATGATTTCTCAAAGGTAATCATTAATGGCTCAGAGATCTCTTCAGATAGTTAAGTATTGTAGGATATATTTAGTCAGGCCCTTCCAGCTTAAAGACATCTAACTTGTCTAAGTAATTAACTTGTTTTTTTTCTATCTTAGCTTCAGATCCTACCCCATTTACACTGATGTTCACTGTGTTAGTCATCTGATCAGCGCTAACCTTTTTGGCGAACATTGAAATAAAAAAGGCATTTACCACTTTGGCCATTGCTGAGTTTTCTGCTATTGTCTTTCCCTCCTCATTGAGTAATGGGCCTAACCTGTCTTTGGTCTTTCTCTTCCTTCTGATTCAGTGGTCTCAAAGTCCCAGCCTGGGGGCCATCTGCGGCCCGAGAACCTCCCCACTGTGGCCTGCAGAGGAGAGATGCATGCAGACACGCTGCCAGCAACCTTTGCTGCAGGCACTGCCCCCCGCAGCTCCCATTAGCTGGGGGAGAGGGACAGAGATATCACTAGTTGCCAGGCAGAGTCAGCCATGGAGGAACCATCAATTTTTTCCACAATGAATATAAACAGGTCA